GAGGCAGACTTTAGCTCCATGTAAACAAAACCTGCTAAGATTCCTTTGCACCCCTTTACATTTTCTGTAAAATGAGAGCAATATCAGATGCTCTAATAATGACAGAGAGGTGCAGTGAGAAGATGGGTTAAATTCAGAAGTGGTCCTTGACTTTAGGTGCTCATTAAAATGACTTGGAGAGTTTTAAAATCCTGATGCTCCAGCTCCACCCACAATTAATTCATTCATAACCTCTGGAGGTGGGACTTAGGCACTGATAATTTTTAAAGCTCCCAGGCGATTCCATTGTATAGCCATTGTGTAGCTCCACTGCGAACCATTGATCTAAAATAATTATTAATTGCCATCTGGGTAGTTGTGGAAAAAGCAGGTTTGACTTAAGGCAGATCTGGCACCATTTTTTTTTTTAAGGGTCACTCACCTAATAATTGGAGCTAAAGGTCACGGTAAAGCAACTCTGGAGTGAAATACAGACCACATAGCCAGTCAATAGCATGAGGGATAGGGAAGGTGGCATAAGCAACCTTTGTCTACTTGTAGGCACATGCTAAGCCGTTCAGGATTGGCTGGCCTCAGAACTTTCCCCAAGAAGCTCCTGAATGGGAAGATGAGACACACCCACTGATGGAGTGACAGTTTCTGGACTTTATAGAGGTCTGGGGAAAATCACTCAGAATACCTCTGTATCGTCTGTGGGCTGATTTCACTGGATATGATTTTATTAGCCACCAGTTTATCATGGACCTGTAATTGATTAAATAAATGTATATACCCATTAAATAATTACAGCTTGGAAAGTGTTTCTTTTTTACTAAGGTTTTTTGTTTGTTTGTTTGTTTGTTTTTGTTGTTGTTTTGAGACAGAGTCTCTCTCTGTTGCCAGGCTGGAGTGCAGTGGCGCGATCTCAGCTCACTGCAACCTCCAGCTCTCGGGTTCAAGTGATTCTCCTGCCTCAGCCTCCCAAGTATCTGGGACTACAGGCGCATGCCACCATGCCCAGCTAATTTTTGTATTTTTAGTAGAGACTGGGTTTCACCATGTTGGCCAGCATAGTCTCTTGACCTCGTGATCCCCCCACCTCAGCCTCTTAAAGTGTTGGGATTACACGTGTGAGCCACTGCGCCCAGCCTTTTACTAAGTCTTAAAAAAAAATAAAATTGACACAAGAATGGTACATATTTGTGGGGTACAATGTGATGTTTTGATACATATATACACTGTGTAATGATCAAATTAGGGTAATTAGCAAATCCTTCTCAAACGTTTCTTTGTGGCGAGAACATTGTAAGTTCTCTCTTCTACCTATGTTGAAATATACAATACATTATTCAAAAAAATAACAGATGCTGGTGAGGTTGTGGATAAAAGGGAAGGCTAATGTACACTGTTGGTGGGAATGTAAATTAGTTCAACCATTTGGGAAAGCAGTGTGGCGATTCCTCAAAGAGCTAAAAACAGAATTAACATTTGACCCAGCAATCTCATTACTGGGTATATATAGGAATATAAATTGTTCTGCCATAAAGACACATGCACGCATATGTTCATTGCAGCGCTATTCTCAAGAGCAGAGACATGGAATCAACCTAAATGCCCATCAGTGGCAGATGGATAAGGAAAATGTGGTACATATACACCATGGAACGCTATGCAGCCATAAAAAAGAACGAGATCATGTCTTCTGCAGGAACATGGATGGAGCTGGAGGCTGTTATTCTAAGTGAAGTAGCACAGGAATAGAAAACAACATTCCGCATGTGTCCATTTACAAGTGGGAGCTGAATGATGAGAACACATGGACACCTAGAGGGGAGCAATAGACGCTGGGGCCTAGATAAAGGTGGAGGGTGGGAGGAGGGAGAGAATTAGAAGAAATACCTTTTGGGCACTAGGCTTAGTAGCTGGGTGAGGAAATAATCTGTACAACGAACCCTCATGACACAAGTTTACCTCTATAACAAACCTGCACGTTTACCCCTGAACCTAAAATAAAAGTTAAGTAAAAAGAAATACACAATACATTATTGTTAACTATAGCCAACTCTGCTGTGCAATAGAATACCAGAACTTATCCCTCCCATCTGACTTTAACTGTGTACTGGTTGGCCAATCTCTCATCATCCTCCCTCCCCACTCCCCTTAGAGAGTGATTCCCTTTTTATTTTATTTTATTTTTGAGAGACAGGGTCTCACTTTACTGCCCAGGTTGTAGTGCAGTGGTGCGATCATAGCTCACTGCAGCCTTGACCTCATGGGCCCAAGCGATCCTCCATCTCAGCTTCCTGAGTAGCTGAGATTGCAGGCTTGCACCACCATGCTTGGCTAATTTTTTGTTTTTATTTTTTGTAGAAACAGGATCTCGCGATGTTGCCCTGGCTGGTCTTGAACTCCTGGGCTCAAGCAATCCTCTCACCTTAGCCTCCCAAAGTTCTGGGATTACAGGCATGAGTCACCACACCAATTTGAGAGTGATTCTGAATCACAGGCCACAGGATACTGCTCTTGCCCATTCCTAGTTTGTTCCAGCTGTATCAAACTGTTGGCTGAGCTGTGCTGCTCGTGGTGCTGAGCCAGACAAAGCCTGGTTGGGGATGTGTAATAAGGACACTGCGTAGCGAAGCAGCCCCAGAGACATCCAGGCAGCCAGAGACGGTGCACAAAGCATAAAGAGATAAACAGATAAGTGCAAGGGTCTTTACTTGTCGCTCCCTGGCCCTCCCCATGGCCCCGACTCTCCAATAAAGGAAATCAAGCTAAAGCTATGATGGGAGACAAAGGATAAAGCAGCAGCACCTGCCAAGAAGATGATGCATTCTGTATGAATCAGCCCAGTGACTCAGCATCTGATAAAGCTTATTTGGAGTGTTTAGGGCAAGGGAAGGAATGGTTCTGCTCTGCTTTGTGTGCTCAGGCCCCCAGGCATTGGCTGGCCCAAGGCTCCCTGGTGACATTGGCTGGCCCAGGGCTGGGCCAAGAGTTTCAAGAGAGATGAGGTCCAGAATGCCAAAGGGCTGGGGAAAAGTCTGCAAACCATGGCAAGGCAAGGAGCTGCAAGCCTGGAGGTCACTGGGAAAAGCAGACTAAGTTGCCTTCAAATATCAGAAGGGGCACTATGGGAGAGAGAAGCTGGATTTTCTCTCTGTGGCTCCAGAGGGCAGAACTGGGCTCGGGATTGGCCCATACACAAGCCAGACTGTGACTCAATCAAAAAAGGCCCGAACTTTATCAAAAGCTTTACTAGATAAAAGGTTGCATGGAAGGTAGTGAGCTGCCTGTTATTGGTGGTGTTCAAACACAGGCAGGATGACCACCTGGTGCAGATGTTGGGGATGGAGTAGGAATCAGGCAGTGTGCAAGTCCTGAACCAATCAATCTCTATGATCTACTTAGCATATTAAACATCTGGTGATGCATTTATGGCACTTTCAAAATTCACACTTTTTTCCCCTCAAAGTTTGATCTTCTGAACCTTGTTTGATTAGTAGTGGGAATAATCAAGTAGTTATTCCCAAGGGATCAACTGTGAATCTGTGAATCATGCTATGTTCTCCCAAATCCTTTCTTCCTCTCCTCCCTTCCCCTAATTCAGATGGCTAAGGCAGATCTCACTTACTGACCTCCAAAGTCTAATTTTAAAAAATATAACTGGATTTATGCCTCCTGTTCCGGATGCTGGGGGAGCTACAGAACAGAAAAGTTACAAGGAGCGAGCTCAAACACAATTCTGCTAACCTCAGGCATTGATAAGGAGGAGGCGCTGTCCACAGAAAATGTAGCTGTTACTGATAATTAGACTTCTTTTTTTTAAAGAAAAATAAAGTGAAGCTTCTTCTGGGGCATTGTTTTTTTCTTCTGGGCTAATGATCTTCTTATACTTGGTTTGGCACTAGGTTAGGTTGCAGGGAGCCATGGAGATGATCCATTCCCGATTCTTCATTGTCCAGATGGAAGAAACCGAGGCCCAAGGGCAAAGTGATTGGTCCAAGGTCACCCAGTGTCTCGGGGCACACCTAGGACTGTAATCAGGCTTTCATGGACCTGGTCCGGGTTCTCCCACTTTTTCATGGACCTCGAAGATTCCCCCAGGCTGCCTCCTGAAAAGGGCTGGGGTCCTAGTGGCCCCAGGACGTTGGGCAAGCAAGGCACTGGGCCTCCATGTTGTGCCTCCATAGTCCTGATCCTGAACGGGAAAACTCAGCCCCTGACCACACAGCTCTCCTTTAAGCCCCTTTGTTTCACATGGTTTTCAAAGTCTGCCACCCCCAGTGGGGCTGCCTGTGCCCGCCCTGTCGACCCATTGCCCCAACTGTCAGCCCCTTGACTTCTCTCCTGGGGCTCAAACATCCCTGGCTCCAAAATGGACGGCTCAGTTTCTTCCCCAAGAATTAGCTGCACATCCAGGGTTCCTGGATTTCCCCCTCCTTGTCAGGGGTTGGGGTGGCTGCCGCAGGATTCTCCCTGCTCTCAGCAGAAGGAACTTCAGCAGTTGGAGACCAGCAAACCCCTCTGGACACAGATCTGATTTCTTAATTGGGAAGGCTCAGTGCAAAATAAAAATTCAGGGCCACTGGTTCAAAAACTATGAAGAATTTCAAGACTGTCACAGTAGCCCCTTAAACCAAACGTGGATCTGCGAGGGTCCCACACCCATGAAGCCCACCCTGCTTGGCTGGGTTCCAAGAGGATGGGGGACAATGATTGCTTAAGCTCCGTGGATCAAGGAGCCCAGAGAGGCCTTCAGGCTCTCCACGTATCTGCTCTGATCACTCCTAAACACAATTCTGTTTCTTCCAGGCCTGGCGGCTCAGTCCAGGGACCCCATCAGTGTGATGTTTCCAGGAGAAGGCGTTTCAATACTTTCTGTGCCCTCTTCTCCAGCACAAGGCCCCTCTCCATCCCACCCTCATTATGTCTGACTCTTTACTATTTAAATGGGCCAAGAGAAGTGGCGCGTGTGTAATGTGAAGGTTAAGTTCAATGGGGCCAGGGAACTGTGACACTGTGTTTTGGACTGGGACAGAGGGCCGGGCTAACCGCGTGAGAGGGGCGCCCAGCTGGGCAAGCGAGTTCAGGCTCTTCCCTCCCGGGAGCACCAAGCGGCCGCACCTCAGGGTCTCCCCTGGAGCCAGCACGACCATTCGCGGTGATGATGCGCCCCCCGGCGCCCCTAGCCCGGTGCTGCACCGGCCCCCGCCTCCCGGCTTCCAGAAAGCTCCCCTTGCGTTCCGCGGCATTCTTTGGGCGTGAGTCATGCAGGTTTGCAGCCAGCCCCAAAGGGGGTGTGTGCCAGCCGACCGCTATAAATACGGCGCCTCCCAGTGCTCACCACGCGGCGTCGCCAGGAGGAGCGCGCGGGCACCGGGTGCCGCTGACCGGTGAGATGTCCCCATCTTCCCTACCCTTGCGCAGAGCTACACCGGGACGGATGGGCGGGCAGGGTTTGGTAGCCAGGCAGAGAGGGATGACAGAGCTCGCAGTCACAACCCTTGCGCTTTCGACGGAGCCCAGGAAGCCAGGGAGGGGAGGTGGCCGGAGCCCCATCACCAGGCAGCTGAACCAGGGGCCCCGGCGCAACCGCTGCCTGAGCGCACGAGCTCCAACCACAATTCTGGGGGAGATAAATAGAGCGGATATAATGATCATCCTTTCGCAAAGATGGGGAAACTGAGACTTGGAGACCTGCCGCGTTGCGGGAGACCCAGGCTAGCAGGTGACGGAGCTGGCCTGCACGGAGCTCCTTCCTGCAGCATGTCCCCTGCGAAGATGCGGATCTCTCAGTTGTGGCTCTCGGCTTGCATGCATGAGTCATCCAGTTTTCTTCTAAATTCTCTAGCTCTCTGGACACTGTGCCTGTAAGTATGAGCCTGCGGATTTAAGTATATGCTGCAACCACTGAAATCCTACTTTTTCTGCCTCCTAATGCATCTGAGGTGCATCAGAGAAAAGTCACACAAGCTCCACCAGGCCTCAGACCTCTGATTCCACGGTTTCATTTTACAGATGATAATCTGAGACCTGGAGAGGTTTAGGACTGGTGCCAACACTAAACAGCAAATAAGTATCAGAATTGGGATTACAGCCAAAGCCTCCTGACCTTCCAGAATTTCTGGACCTAGTTAAAAAAAAAAAAAGAAAGAAAAAGAAGCTGATTTTTATTTTTATTTTTTAAAGGGAGAGGTTAGGAATTTAAAGGTAAGTACAGATACAAAAAAAAAAAAAAGATGCCCATGAGAATGTAAGTTATAATAATAGTGGGGCATTGGGCACAACTGAAACGGCCAATCTTGTGAGAATGGTAAAATAAACTTGGGTCCATGAGAAAGTGGAGTATTACATAGCCACAAAAGTATGTTCTTAAAGAATATTTGAAGATGGTGAATGTGAAGGATCTGATTGTATAAACTGCATGGAAGACAGAAGGAAATATACCACGGTGCTAACATTTG